TATATATGTATATATTTGGATATGTTTATATATATATATAATATATATATATATATATATATATGTATATATATATACATATATATATATATATATATATATATATATATATATATATATATATATGTATATATATACATATATATATATATATATATATATATATATATATATAAATATATGTATAAATGTATATTTGAATATATTTATATTCATATATATATGTATATATATGTATATTTGAATATATAGATATATATGTATATATATTTGAATATATATATTTACATGAATACATATATATATATATATATATATATATATATAATATATATATATATATACATATATATATATATATATATATATACATATATATATATATATATATATATATATATATATATATATATATATATATATATATGTAGTTTACAACCACTATTAATTTAAACGTCCAAAAGTCCCAAAATCCAAAAGCACCATCGTAACCACTAATCAACTTCACATTTCCATTCTTCGCACAACATTAGAAATTTCTTTCGCTAAAGGCTGGGCCAAGTGCACTCTCTTTAACTTTTTTTTTTTTTTTAATTCTTGCGGGACACGTCTGAGTCATCATTCTAGTTTCTTACTTTGCGTTATTCATCTATCTTCTTTGTTACAATATCTAGAGTAAAGGTTGATCATGGACATAAAGACCACACAATGTGAACTTTAAAGGTTAATTTTGCTTCGAGATTTTTGTCTTATGTCATAATCAGTAACAAACAGCGAATAGTCCACGGTCTCACTAGAGCTAGGTGGGAATGTTAGTGTTAATAACCATTCTTAAGCAATTAAAAATTATTGGGCTCCGTGGCAAAGTGAATGCATCACCAGCATCATCATCCTAAACTTCCTCGTTACCATTTATATTATTTTTATTGATGTTACAACTGCTGTTGTTACAAATGATGATATTTATTATTATTATTGTCGCTGTCTTCGTCGTCGTCATTGTTATTACTATAATTATTATCATCATGTTGATAATAAACTAAATATATGAAGAACAATGTCTTAGATTTTAGTGGCAAGCGCTGCAGGTAAAGTGTTTCAAAATGAATGAATGAATGGAAAAATAAATTATATTGTGACATTCAACGGTTTCTCTTGAAAATGATATAAGGCTATTGGATTTTTTCAAAAGCTAAACAAAACTACTCGAGTAAATCATATATGCAGCCAAACACACGTAAATACACCTGTGTGTGTAATTTATGTATGTAGGTACGGATATAAGATAATAGGATATATTTCACGCAGTATTATGTATAATGAAAACCTTTTACTTTCCTTAGATAAACTTTCTTTCATGGTCAAGGGTTTTGCTCTGCCTTAGATACCAATCAGCTTCGAGATCAGGAAATTTCCATTGGAAAGAAAAAGTCTTGCTTGAGGTGGATATATAAGATGACGTTTTCTGTAAAGGAAAACATGAAAATCTTGGTACGTTCTTACTCTGATTATTATTATCGTTATTATTACACACACACACACATATATATAAACATAAATATACACAGTTACACATTAATCAGTATGAAAAAAAGAGAAATATGCTGAACTACGAAACTAACCAGGCGCATGCTTCCAGATCACAGTTACATTGCTCATCTCTATACTCAACCCGACGGTTATGGAGCTTCCAGGCCTGCAGGAGGTTTATCAATTGGAGGACGAATCTCAAGTGGAGTAGGTTGAAGATTTTCTGGCGGAGGAGGATTCTCTGGAGGAGGACGTATCTCAAGTATAGAAGAATTATCTAGCGGTGGAAGACGTGTCCCAAGTGGAATAGCATTATCTAGAGGAGGAGGACGTGTCTCAAGTGGAGTATGATTTTCTAGCGGAAGTGAATTCTCTGGTGGAGGACTATCGATCAGGGGAGGATTTCCTAGCGGTGAAGGATTCTCCAGAGGAAGAGGCTCTGGAGGCTACATGTGGATGGCTCTTGTGTCACCCCTGAAGTTACAAGAAGTATTTATGTTTACGATGCCCCTCCACAACCCATACAGCCAAGTGGGACACTGCCAAGGATTCCACCGCCAAGGGTTGAGCACAATATCATCTTTATGCGAGTTCCTGGGAAAGGTGGCGGTCCCGAGCCCGTTGTTGTGCCATCGTCACAACAGAAAAACATCATATATGTACTTAACAAGAATGAAGAAGGAGGACAGCGAGTTATCGAAGTACCTGCTCCTCCTCCTTCTGAGCCCGAGGTGTTCTTCGTCAACTATGCTGACGGGGAAAATCCTCAACTCCCAATTGGTGTGGATCTCCAAACTGCTCTTCGAGCTGCAGTTAACGGAGGACAAATCGTCGGTGGCGCTGCAGGTGCTAGCACTTTAGGAGATGGAGGATTTGGAGGTGCTCCTGCACTGGGTGGTGATGTTTTTGGCGGTAGTGGAGGATTTGGTGGAAGTTTAGGAGAAGCAGGTTTTGGAAGTGGGGTTGGACA